AAAAGGTTTAACATGGCAAAAGATGTGATAAACAGAAAGAACTGAGAAAATGGGAAAACCCGATTTCAACTTATAGTATAGACAAACAAGGGGTAAATATCTCTAATACAGAATAGAAAGGGTTTCTAAAAATAGGGAAAAAGCAGGCAAACTGTCCTGTAGAAAAACAGAATTTACAAATAAAAGAATATAAATATCCCTTAAATGTGTAAAAAGATATTCAATCTCACTCACAATAGGATAAATACAAATTAAAGGTGCACAAATAAACCCAAGTATCAAGTTGGTGACCTAGTCACACAGAGATAAATCATTTCCAGGGACTGTAACATAATTGGCTCATGCATATAAAATATGTTACTCTAGAGACAAAGAAAACAGTTTTCAGTAATCATATTATTAGTAATAATTGTAATACTGTTATTTTGAAAATGTTAGATACATAGTAGGATAGAGATACTTATATTACTCTCATTTGAAAATCAGGATTTTTAGCAACAGAGAAGAATTTAAATAAAAAAATCAATGAAGTTAGATAAAAATATGTCATCATTGATTTAAACTAGAGTTGTCAGTATTAACTCATGATGCATTTTCTGCTTACAAAACAAAAATACTGATTTTGCAGAAACAAACTCCTGGAATTCAGGTCCAGAATGCAGGCATACAGCAGCTTGGTCAGCCGGGGGACATATGTGTTGGGGGCAGCCCTTGGGGCTATTTCTCATGTCTGGGATGTGGCAACACAGCTTCTCAGCTGGTCTGAGCGCATGACTGCTGGAGGTGACCCAGGGGGCTATTTCTCTGTCTTAGAACACAGACACAAAGCTGTTTAGTTGGCCTAGAAGCATATTCACTGTGCGTGGCCCACAAAGCTATTTTTCAGGTCCAAAACATGAGCACATGGCTGCCAACTTGGTCTGGGGGTTTGTTTGTCATGGGTGGGCCCAAGGCTGTTTCTCAGACTCATGACATTACTGTATGACTGCTTGGCTAACTGGTCGTGTTTCTGCAGGGAATAGCCCCCCAGGACTGTTTTGTAGGTCTGGAATGCAAGCACAGGCATGGTCTGTGTCCACCAGAAGCAGCCCATGGAGCTGTTTCTAAAGCCCAGTACATGGGTGAACAGCTGCTTGGCTAGCCTGGAGGTGTGCCCACCAGAAGCAGCCTGTAGGACTGTTTCTCAGGCCCTTGTTAGAGATGCAGGGTCATTGGACAGGCCAGAGGCATGTCTGTGAAGGGTGAGGGTGCTACAGGGCTGTTTCCAGTTCCTGGACACATTTCCACTCATTTTTTTTTTTGGCTATAAGTGAAGCAGTAGAGGTTGCTTTCTTGGCTGTACAGGACCAGGGTCACAGCCAATTCTGAGCTCTAGCTCCACACTGCTGGGGTTGTGGCATTTAGTCATCTGTGTGGATTTGTGGAATAAGATGTTGCTCCAATATTGGAGAGGTGCAGTGGCTACTAGCCCCTAGAGCAGGGTACCTTCCGAAGGTGACTTTGGTCTCCAGATGGTTCACAGGGGCTCGAGGGTAAATAGGGAGTACACACCTTGTGCTCCTAATCTGGGGCAATGCAGCTGCATGAATTCCCAGCAGCTCTCCAAACTGGGCTCAGGACTTGTGAGAACTGCAGGATTTTCCTGTTGTAAAGACTGTAGGTGTCTGCAGTATCAATGAGGGCTGCTGGGGAACTTCTGCATCCTTTCCCATTCAAAGGGAAGTCCCTCCTGTCTCTGGGCCAATCTGATCTAGGTGGAGGAGATAGAACTACAGAGGCCAGGTACCTCCACACCGCCCTCCTAGACTTCCTGTCACCAAAGGTGCATCTCCACTGTCCCACTGTACCCCAGCACTCTCCCTTCAACACTGCAGTCAAATTCTAGCTGTGTATTAATTTCCTTGGTTCTTTCATGTGAGGGGAGAGTACCAGGCTTCTCTACTTAGCCATCTTGCTCCCCGAAATCCATTTTTTGGGGGGAATCTTAATGTGAGTCAGACATGACTGAACTCCCCTGAGCCAGTGCTAGACCATCCCAGCTCCAGAATTTCCCACAGGAGCTGAAGCTTCTGTTGGACTGCATTGCCATCTAACTTATTCTGCTCAGCTCTGGGGCTCCAATGAACTCAGAGTACAGGAACCTAGTATACCTTGCTCATCATTATATCCTTGGTATCCGGGAGAGTACCTGACACATACTAGGTGCTCAATTAAGAGGTGTTGGATGAAAATGAAGAACTTGAACCTGTCAGGAAAGAGCCAGACCCCAAATGTCCTAAGAAGGCATCTTTGTGACATCTTGACAGACAAGCAGCCAGTCTTGCTAACACCTTTAGAACTTAAACAGGACAAGACATGGTTTACTGAAGTACCTGGAACAATACTGGGCACATAAAAGGCCTTCAAGAAAGGTGTCTCCCTCCCTCTCTGCTCTGATGATCCTGTGTATTTGGAATTTTCTCACCATGTTGGGATTTCAGCTGTCCTCAGTTTCCTGGTGGGAAAGATACTGTGAAACAGAGTTTGCAAGCAGGAAGTTTACTAGGGAGTGCTTTCCGGCAAAATGCCTGCTCCTTTGTTGCTAGGTTTCTAGTCACTTGGGCTGCCCTTAGAAAGCCCTATTTGAGCTGTACATATTCAGCAGTTTTTGGATTTAAGCTGGAAGGATAACAATTTGCTTTATCACATCGGGAACTTTTTCAGGAAGAAAGAATACGCATATATCTGTGGCTATGTAGTTTCAAGGTGACCTATTGCAGGAAAGCACTTGAAAACATGTTGCTTACCAAAGATTTTAGAATATCATTTTTTATTAAAAACTGATTAAATTAAAATTTTTTTTTTTTTTTTTTGCAAAGAGAAAGAATAAAAGTAAATGACTCATTAGGACAAGGAATGCATGCAGCAAAAAAACATCTAATGCGGCTAAGACCTACTAGGAATAGAATCTCAGGAGACCTGGCAAGAAATTGCACTCCCTCAAGAGTAAGTCTCAAAGGCTGGAAAGCAGTGAGGTAAGGGCCCTGAGCCGAAGCCAATTAGTACTTGGTAAACAAATCGGATCATTTTGCTTTCTGCCCAATTTCAGGCCCACCTTCTGAGCAGTTCAGATGAGAGTTCTTAAGAAAAAAAAAAGTTCAAATTCCCATAGCGATTCAATTTACAAAGTGGCTTCTATTTGATTTGTAGAGGAACAGCCTGTGTTTTGTTTTGTGTCAGAGCTTCTGAATGGCAATTCCAGAAAAATGTGCTGAGTCATGAATCTGTAAGGAAAGAAGATTTTGACAAGAACAGGCAACAGCTGTGACAGTTATATGATTAGGGATAACAGAGGCTCATTATTCTTCTAGATGAAGCCCTTTAATTCAAACCTTAACCCCACACCTGTTCCTGGAACACTTGATGCATTCCTCAGGTACAGGGAAGCAATACACTTAAGAATGATGACAATAAAAATAATAATAGCTAATATTGTATCGGACATCTACCATGTACCACGTATATGTATGGATGAGCTTATTTAATTCCCACAATTGTGTGTTTTATAATTTTATAATTATGTGTTTTGTAATTCCCACTACAATGTGTTTTATAAATGAGGAAACTGAGATTCTGAGAGGCTAAATAATTTGCTCACTGTCACTTGGCCACAGGGACAGATAGACAATCTTGTTGTGGAATCACAACCTTAACAAGTATGTACACTGTAGTCCCAAGTATTTTCCATGCATTAATAGAGCTCTGATCATTTTAACTGACTGCGCTTGAACTCCTTATTCCAAGAGGGATCCTACTAACTGGCATCCTTTAGATTCAATTGACTATATAGCAGACAGTTCCAAGATGATTTAATTTTGTTTTTGAGTTAGAGTCTCGTTCTGTAGCCCAGGCTGAAGTGCAGTGGCACAATCTTGGCTCACTGCAGCCTCCAACTCCTGGGTTCAAGTTATTCTCCTGCCTCAGTCACCTGAGTAGCTGGGATTACAGGAATGTGCTACCATGCCTGGCTAATTTTTATATTTTTAGTTGAGATAGGGTTTCACCATGTCGACCAGACTGGTCTCCAACTTCTGGCCTCAAATGATCCACTTGCCTCAGTCTCCCAAAGTACTGGGATTACAGATATGAGCTACTGCTCCCAGCCCAAGATTGCTATTAGTGAAGGAGAAAGTACAGGGCACTGCTAATGTGAATCAGGTGTTCTTTGTGTAGAATATTCCTTCTAAGTAAAAGAGAAGATAAAATGTCCTTTGTTTCAAAATAGAGCTCCCCTTTATGTCTGGAACACCCTGAGTTGGGATAATTCTCTACCAATTGCTAAGCGCTGAGGCTACCTAAGGTCATGGGACTGGTCAGCTGACACATATATTCAGTCATGACCTCCCAGTACTAGAACTCCTGGTTCTTGGGAATTGTTCCTCATGGGGCCTTTAAAGGTTAGTGGCTGAACCATCTTCCCTACTGACATGATTACCCTACAGAAAATTTTCTGTTCACTAAAGGATTGGCTTTAGAGGAACCCTCCTGGCTAGGCCTAATTTTTGAACCATGTTAGAAATTAAAGGGTTTACTTTAATTTCTACAAAGAGAAACATTCTGCATTTTGGTGTTGGAAATTCCTTATTATATATGTTGTCCATAGTATTAAGACAATTATATTTTAGATTATAAAATGAGGGTCATAATCTCCATCTCACAAGGTTATTATGTGGATTAGTTAACATAAGCTTGAAACATTAAGAATTCTATAAATGACTGGTGGAATTATTATTAAAAAATTAAGACCTGCAGAGTACTCTTTACTACAAGAGATAAAGCTGATATACCAGCTTTTTGGAAGGCATTGGTCAAAGTAATAAAGCATTTTGAATATGCTTTTGTCCAATCACCATGTTCCAGAGTCCAAATCATGCCAGGTAATTTATAGTTCTACATTTAAGTGAAGTGTCACTATAATTGGGTGGAGAACTGACTAAGAGGAGAGAAAGCAACCAAACTGATGCAAAACAAACAAAAATTTTATTGTAACTTAAAATTCATCACCTAGACAACAGATAATGCACACACTGGATGTTATTAGTAGACACAGTGAAGATGCCTTTGGACAGTTATCAGCATTGATAAATGTGAAGGTGTCATATAAAAGTCAAACTTTTTCAGGTTATTGAGTTTCCTGAACATAACATTGGCAAAAAGGAACTTTCATCACAACATGTAGTTTAGTTTTTTTTTTTAATGTCACTTATTTTATTTACTAACCTTGACAGGGACTAACAAATGAGGTACAGAAAACTTTCCAGAAGTCTGAGTGGACTTCTACACAAAGACACCCTGGAGCTCCATTATTGCATTATTGAGTAGAATGAACAGTTAGGAAATTCTCCATACTCCAGGTTTACTACATAGAAAAGTACTATTTACCTACCTCACAGAGGTGTTGTGAGGATTCATGTTTATAAAGTGCTTCAGGTGCCTTCAAAGAAAGGCAACATACAAGTATAAAATAATCGTCCATATTTCAAAAGAAATGAAAAGATGATTTTGGCACAATGGAAGGGTGCCTCCTATTTAAAGAACACTTGGCTATTTGTTTATTAAAACCCCTGACCTCTTGGGTTTAAAATAATTATTATTTAAAAGAATAAATGTTTTTTCTGTTGTCAATCTTATAAAAATTCTCAATCCAGGCTGTGCTATCAGAATCACTTGAAGAGCTCAATAAAAATATAGATGCTTGAGCAACAGCCCACACCAACAGAAATAAAAACTCTGCACATGATACCCAGGCACTAATATTTTAAAAAGATCTATAGGGGATTCTGATGCATACCAAAGTCTAAAACCCATTTCTTTAGAAAAATATATCAATGTATTAAAAATTGGAATTTATTCCAAGGACATTTTTCTTAATGTTAAATGCAGATGGATACGGGTATGAATTTCTTTCTGGGGTTTTTTTTTTTTTTTTTGAGATGGAGTCTCGCACTATTGCCTGGGTTGCAGTGCAATGGGGTGATCTCGGCTCACTGCAACCTCTACCTCCTGGGTTTACGCAATTCTCCTGCCTCAGCCTCCCAAGTAGCTGGGATTACAGGCACACACCACCACACCAGGCTAATTTTTTTGTATTTTTTTTTTTTAGTAAAGATGGGGTCTCACTATGTTAGCCAGACTTGAACTCCTGACCTCTCGATTCACCCGCCTCGGCCTCCCAAAGTGCTGGGATCACAGGTGTGAGCCACTGTGCCTGGCCAAGGGAATGAATTTCTTATTGCCCTTTTCCCTTCCCATATCCCATGGAGACTTAGAGCATGTATCACACACACACACACACACACACACACACACACACACACACACACACTTTTAGTTCTGCCCTTGAATTAAATTTAATAGTGGTAAAATCTAATAGTAGCAAATAAATGCTTCACCAGGAGGATATGCAAGACCTTGCAGCCCAACCCCACTGTGCCCAAAGCAAATGGACGGTTCCCGTTTGCCAGACGGAATGGTTGAGAAATGTGTTTCCAATTTGGAAACACGTAAAATTAGCACTTCCTGGGAAATATCAGCTGAGTGGATGCTGAGAAACAAAAGTGAGCAAGGTTGGAATGATCAACCATAAAGAAAGTCTACAGTGACTACTCCTCCATTGGGAGTTCACCTGCATCTCAGCAAACACCTTAGAAACTGAAACAGTTTATGCTCAGTGGGTATCGAACAATATGCGAGTACTTCAGTGAGGTAAATAAAATAGAACAATGAAAACTGGTGATTGTAAGTTAAAATATCTTTTTTTAAAAAACGACCAATTTGCTCCACTGCGATTCTTAAGGTTGTTTGAGTAACCATTTTAATTTCCTGGCTGGCTCGAAGTCTTCTGTTTACTAGCAAGTCTAACACAGAGAAGAGAATGATTTCTTTCCTAGTGGGCTTCACACATATCTTATCATGATGCGTGCATCACTTTTAAAATAGGAGAGACCTCTTTTCATGCCTCGCAGTGGAATAAATGGAGTCGGCAGAGAAATTATACTTCCTTACAAAGAGAAAGCCTTCTGAGGCTGGCCAAACTTTTTACAACATTAAGAACTAGTGAATAACAGCAAAACAGAATAGTCCCATTGAGGGAGCAGGGAGCGAAAAGAGAAAAGAATACATGAGATAGAGGCTACACATACACTACATAAAAAAATAGGGTGTGTAAAAAATAGAATAATTCATTCAAACTCAGCCACTGTGAAATTTTGCTATGAAAAATAGTCTTGACCCTAGAAAATTTGCTTGTGAATCTGTTAAAATATTGTTGCTATATGGTATAAAACAGCAAAAATCGTGTCTTCCAATATTCCTCTAAACATTAGAGGCAACTTTGTACAAGAAAGTGGTTGGAGCTGGCTTGGGGAGTTGCTTGTTGCATGTATCCCAAGAGGGCAAGGCTGCCAGCAGCAGAATAAAACCTCCCAGCAGGACGCAGAAGCCACTGAAATAAAATGCAATGTCATAGGTCTGGGTCCAGTCATAAAACCAACCTGAAAAGACAGTAAGGGAAAATAGTGAGTTTCACAGAAATAGTATGAACATCCAGCCCATACCCTGGTTTCATCAATTTTATATATAGTTATAATTAGGATATATATTATTCCACTGCTTCCAACGTGGTTTACTGGGAGTTAGAAGAAGAGAATCTCGCAAATATTTGGGTAAGAATAAGCAGGCATTTTGAGTTTCTCTCAAATAAGGAGTGATCACAAATCCCAGAGCATGCATATTGGCTTTCTCAATTATATCAAAGCAGTCTTGAATAAATCATTACCATAAGATGTTCCATGCAAATTTATTTTGTACAAATTTGTGCCACTATTACAATCTGGATTTTTGTATCTGGTGATGTGACAAGGAAGAGCAAAATGGGTTGACTTTAAGATAAATATCTTACCAACGATGGGTGGTCCAAGGCTATTTCCAAGTCCAGCAAAGAACATTAATATCCCATAGGCATGGGCTAATTTTTCAATTCCCACAGTCTTCGTGGTCACATATGGGAAGATGGACCAATTACCAGTAAGAAACCCTAAGATACCAGAAAGCAATGCCAATGTGACATAGCTTTTGGCAAATGGAATTGCACACAAGGCCAGGCCCATGATGATTAAGGTAGCAACATAAAGATACAAGGTATTAATCCACTTGAAGTCAGCCAGTATCCCTAAAAGCAGTTTACCAACTGCTGTCATAATGCCTATAATTGAAATAAGTGGCATAATAAACTCTTCTTCTTTCACGTGTGAACTTCTTGCTACATCTTCCATAAGTAACGAAGGTGGAAACCCTCCAATGTCAAAGAGTAAGATAGCAATGAAAAGTGCTGAAAATACTTTGTTTTTAAAAAGAGCCATCGTTTCTCCACAGTAGTTTTTATATAACTGCCATTTCCTCTTGGCAAGCTGTTTGCAAAAATATGTCTGTTCTGCAACTTTCTTTTTGTACGTTTCAGGCTCTTTTGTGTGTGTCACTGTGGGGTTTTTATGAAGTAGGCTCTCCTGTTTCCAGTCACCATTGGCTAATGTGCTCTTGCATTTTTCCTCACTACTGTAGCTCTTGTCAAGAATGTTTATATTTTCTTCCAGATTCTTTCCTTTTTCATTGTAAATGGCGTATCTATCTGGTAGATCTTCTGGAACTACTTTTTTAGGCAAAGGACAATCAGAAGATTGGAGGGGTCTCATCAGACTGCCACAGGCTAATATATTTAAAGCTAAAGCACCCACAATCAGCAAGCATCCATCCAGTCCATAGAACTCAACCAGCATCCTCTGCAGAGCAGCATATATGAAAAGGCCAACGCTTGAACCTAAAAAGGGAAGGGGAACTGTTCAACCTTGTAATCTGAGGGTCTCAGGATTAGAATTTGTAGTATCACAATTCAATTTATTTTTTACACTGGCATTTATATGTAACTTCATATTAAAATCACAGCAAGAAGATTGAATATAATAATAATTGCAATACTGATAGAACATTTAAGAATTAGCATTTACAGCTTAGTCATTGTTAAGCACTTTACATTGAATGATCGTGTTTTATCCTTTTGCTGATCCCTTTGAGTAGGTCCTATTATTATTCCTAATCTAGAGATTACATGGCCTAGGGCTGGAATAGTTGAGAAATTTGCCACAGATCAAAAATCTGTAAAGAACATAAATAGGATTCACACTCAGTCAGTTGGACCCCAATGGCCCATATTCTTAACAAATGTCATCATGAAACTACTTTCTTTGTACTTATTATGTGCCAGGCTCCAGGTTACATATTGATTCCCTTTGTATAAGTAAATTTTCATATTCTGCTTTTTAAGATAAATAGTATCTTGCAGTTTAAGGATGTTTACAATGGTTCGATAGTTGAAATTCATTGCTAAATCACCACAATGAATGATTCATACTTTTCATGCATTAATACAATTATGAAAAAAGTAGAATTTTTTAGGGTATTTAAATTACAACATATGCTGGTTTATGCATCTGTGCAACACTGTGAATACTCCATCTTTTTGGCATTGACCACATTAAACACACAGGGATGTCAAGTTATGAGAGCCTAATCAATTGGTACGGTTCTCATCTGGTTCGGATTTCAATCTTTAAAAAATTGAGGATTTAAAAATTTAAATGTCTGCTAGTGCAGTGAAGGCAAAAAAGAAAAAAGAAAGAAAGAAAATAAAATCTAAATGTCATTGGCAAATATCATGTGAAAAAGCAGAAACCAATAGTCTAAAAAGCTTGATCATATGTTTAAAATGGTCAATATTAAATTACATCATAACCCCATTGGGATGCCAGTGGGACCAAGCTCAGAGGCATCACTGATTGCATGGATATGCTTGCTGTAAAAACCCATCTTATAAAACAATTCTTACAAGTAATCAAATAGCTCTGCCTTAGAATTGTAAGAAAACATTTTCTTTGGGACCTCAGTTGTCCCTTTCTTAACAGTTTTTAAAGTTAACTCCTTAATTCCTAAAGGAAAAAAAAAACCTGGCATGCAAATATTAATGTCTCATGTTAATGTAATGGCAGCTAAAATTGTATCTTTTTGCGACTACTAAGCATGTATGTATTTGCTAACTATTGAGAAGTAATAATAGTAGACAAATGTAGTCTTTTCCTTATCTCATTAAATGTGGCATATACCATAAAAGTTAAAACCACTACAGAAAACACACTGACAGAATTAAAAACAGCAGAGTGATCTTATGTACTGTTGGCTGCATTAGTACCCATTAACTATAAATCTGTAATTTTTGCCTAACACAATTTCTTTGTACAGATTCTAACAAAGTGCCACATCATTAGATACTTAAAAATTCTCTTGGTGTTTGGAAAGTTCTATGTTTTCACATAGAACAAGTAAACAAATAAACAACTTTCCTATTCTTGACAACCAGGTGTATCTGTCAACATGATGAAAATCAATTCAACAGATATTTATTGAACACATAAGATATGAGAGAGTAAGAAAAGCAGATTATACATCAGAGGCTAGTCTCCTCAGCCTTCATCCCACAAGAACATGTCTGTGTCTTAGAAAGATGCAGGATTTTTTTTCAGGGTAATCAAGATTAATTTAGAGTTTCCAGGAAGAATTTTGTAAACTGTAAAACTGTGATTTTTAAAAAATTTTATTTCATTTTAAGTTCCAGGATACATGTGCAGGATGCGCAGGTTTGTTACATCAGTAAACATGTGCCATGGTGGTTTGCTGCACCTATCAACCCGTTACCTAGGTGTTAAGCCAGCCAGTATGCATTAGCTAAACTATAATTTTTAATCTTCAAAAAGGGCATCCTAATTTTAAGATAGTCACTGTAAAGGGTAAAGTGAAATAAAACACTAATTATGCTTCCATGCATGTTATACATGATTACAAAGAGAGAAAATATTAAATGGTGTTCTGGAATCTGAAGCAGTGAGAGGTACAGCCATACTTTGATTAACTCATTAATACCAGGTGTCAACTTCTGATAAGGATCAGAGAGTAAATATTTAAGGCACAGAGGGCTGTATAATCTCTGTCCCAAATACTCAGCGCTGCCCTTGAGGCATAAAACCAGCCAGAGACAATCCATAAAGAAATGAGCATGGCTGTGTTATAATAAAATTATATTTATGAACACTGAAATGAAAATTGCACATCTTTTTACATATTATGAATATTCTTCTTTTGATTTTTTTCAAGAGTTTAAAGCACAAAAACCATTGTTAGCCTGTTAATCATACACAAACCAGCAGTAGACCAGATTTGGCCGATGGGCATTTGCTGACCAACCCCTGTTCACGAAGGAAGAAGATTGCTTCCCCCAAACCTTCACTTCCTTTTTTTCAACTAGGTCAAAATATTTCAAGCATTTTGATGTGGGGTTTCTTTTTAATTTTAAAAAGCTCTGCTATGACTTTGTTTTGCTTATCATATCTTTCACTGAAGGTAGGTTCACACTTCTCCCTAATTTCCCTTCACCTAGCTCCCTGTGAGTTGAAACTCCTTTAAATCTTGACTGTCCATAGTTGCTTCACTTTTTACTTAGTGTGCTATGACCCAGGCCCCTGTGCCCTCCTCTCATGACTAAGTGAAAAGCAGGGTCATCTTTCACAGCATACAATTCCAACACCTTCAACACAAATAAATTTGGACATTAAAGAAACCTAGGGCAGATTATAACTGCTAACACTTGAGAGCCCTTGTCATGTGCCTTACATATACATCCCTTTCATATTTCCAATGACGCAATGTGATGGTACTATTTGTAAGTTAAAAATAAAATTCTAGCTGGGCGCAGTGGCTGATGCCTGTAATTCTAGCACTTTGGGAGGCTGAGGTGGGTGGATCACCTAAGGTCAGGAGTTCAAGACCAGCCTGACCGATATGGTGAAACCCTGTCTTAGAAAAATATATATTTGTATATTTTTATAAATATAAATATAAATAAAAATAAAATAAAATAAGATGCTAAGCCATCCAGCCAGCTGACAGACCCTCCCCTTGGCCAAGGGTATTCTGAAGTAAACCTGAAAAACTAGTTCAGGCCATGATGAGGTCAGCGGGATTGTGGCTGGACATGCCGCATTATACTCTCCCCTCTTAGGAATTCAGACACAGCTGACCAGTATTAACATTAAAACAGACACCTTAAGACTGACAGAACAGACTCTTTATAAGTCTGATAAGAAATACTTCCTTCTATTGATTCTATCTGCATAATGGGAAACTTGGTCTCCACAACCCCTTTTCTTAACCCAGACATTCCCTTCTATTGATTCTAGGTCTTTAGACAATAACTTAACCCTTTCAACTAACTGCCAATTAAAAAATTATTGAATCCACCCATGACCTGGAAGCCTTTTTCCAGTTGTCCTGCCTTTCCAGACCAAATCAATGTACAACTTACATGTATCAATAGGCGTCTTATGTCTCCCTAAAATATGTAAAATCAAGTTTAGCCTGACCACCTGAGACAGGATCTCATGGGACTGTGTCACAGGCCATTTGTTATTTGGCTCAGAATAGATCTCTTTAAGTATTTTATAGAGTTTGACTCTTTTGCTCAACATATTATCCCCATTTTATAGTTCCAAAATGGAGGCACAGAACAGTTAAGCAACTAACACCAGATAGCTAGTGAGTGACAAAAGGAGGATTCGAATCCGGACAGTGTGGATCCAGGGTTGTGCTTCTAACTCGACATCATACTGCTTCTACAAAAAACACAGTACAGGTGAGACTCACTTCCTTGAAGCTGCCATGCCTGCTCTCACAGTACTTCCCACACTTGGGGAAGATCCTCACAGGTTCTCCGAACTGCATTCCAACTACTCTGGATTCCTCATCTTCTGCTTTTGCATTCCTTCTCCCATCGCTGCCTTAGCCATGTCCTCGGACTCTGGCCTTGTCGCCTCCTACACCACTATTCACACTTCTCACCTGGGAGTGCTTCTTAAACTATGATGGGGAAATATCCAGCTGGATTTAATTCAACCATGAATCACTTTGCTGTCACTCTATGGCCTCAGGAACAAAGTATTAGTTTGGATCCTGTTGCCAGAATAACTACTGACATTCTTCAGCCTATCTAAAAGACTGACCTTCCAGAGTTACACACCTACCAGCAAGGAGCATATGTTCATTTATAACTTTTGAGAACTTGGCAACTCTATGTCCTAAAAAACTCAGAAAATGTTGGCTACATAAATTTTGATAACACTATAGAACTTTTAAAAATTCATCTGAAAAGTGAAACACCACTTTTATATGTCCAGAAATAAAAATTTTATATTTAAAAAATTATGTTTTATGTTTTCCCCCTCAGTGATCATCTCTTGATTACTAAAGGAATAACAAGAGTAAACAGTCTGTCATTTGGATATGCACGTAGGCCATTGAGAAACCAGTATTTTAGAAAATTATAAGTTCCACACTACAAGGAAGTGGAGACATGATCAGCACCAGTCTTTCTGACAGTTGCCTTAGGGATGTTCATTTTCCTTCCTTTTCTCTTATCTTTTTCAGGGATAAGGTGCTTTCTTGAAGCACTTTCTGCTTCTTTTAGCAAAGTCTTCACCAGCATGGGATTCTCAATTTAGTGGGCCCATAAGCTTTCTTTTCATGTATTATGTTGGGCATCTAATCCCCAATTTAGATATCTTAGGTACTTTCGAAAGGCATTTCTGCACTCTAGATCTCTCCTCTCTGGACAGGACATCTCTGAAAAAAAGGTAGCAGCCCCAGTCAGGGGCTTATAGATAAAACTCCCATCTCCCTGGGACAGAGCACCTGGGGGAAGGGGCGCTGTGGGTGCAGCTTCAGCAGCCTTAAGTGTTCCTGCCTGCCAGCTCTGAAGAGAGTAGCAGATCTCCCAGCACGGTGCTTGAGCTCTGCTAAAAAAAGACTGCCTCCTCAAGTAGGTCCCTGACCCCTGTGCCTCCTGATGGGAAGATACTTCCCAGCAGGGGTCAACAGACAACTCATACAGGAGAGCTCCAGCTGGCATCTAGTGGGTGCCCCTCTGAGATGAAGTTTCCGGAGGAAGGAACAGATTGCAATCTTTGCTGTTCTGCAGCCTCTACTGCTGATACCCAGGCAAACAGGGTCTAAAGTGGACCTCCAGCAAACTCCAGGAGACCTGCAGAAGAGGGCCCTGACTGTTAGAAAGAAAACTAACAAACAAAGTAACAGCATCAACATCAACAAAAAGGACCACCCCACAAAAACTCCTTCAGAAGGACACGAACAGCAAAGACCAAAGGTAGATAAATTCACAATGATGAGGAAAAACCAGCACAAAAAGGCTGAAAATTCCAAAAATCAGAATGCCTCTTCTCCAAAAGATCACAACTCCTCGCCAGCAAGGGAACAAAACTGGACAAAGAATGAGTTTGACAAATTGACAGAAGTAGGCTTCAGAAGGTGTGTAGTAAGAAACTCCTCCAAGCTAAAGGAACATGTTCTAACCCAATGAAAGGAAACTCAGAACCTTGAAAAAGGTTAAATGAATTGCTAACTACAATCACCAGTTTAGAGAACATAAATGACCTGATGGAGCTGAAAAACACAGCATGAAAACTTTGTGAAGCATACACAAGTATCAATAGCTGAATCAATCAAGCAGAAGAAAGAATATCAGAGACTGAAGATCAACTCAATAAAATAAAGCATGAAGACAAGGTTAGATAAAAAAGAATGAAAGAAATAAACAAAGCCTGCAAGAAATATAGGACTATATGAAAAGACCAAACCTATGTTTGATTGGGGTACCTGAAAGTGATGGGGAGAATGGAACCAAGATGGAAAACACACTTCAGGATCTTATCCAGGAAAACTTCCCCAATCTAGCAAGACAGGCCAACATTCAAATGCAGAAAATGCAGAGAACACCACAAAGATACTCCTTGAGAAGAGCAATTCCAAAACACATAATCATCAGATTCACCAAGGTTGAAATGAAGGAAAAAATTTTAAGGGCAGCCAGAGGGAAAAGTCAGGTTATGCACAAAGGGGATCCTATCAGACTAACAGTGAGACTTTCTGCAGAAACCCTGCAAGCCAGAAGAAAGTGGGCACCAATATTTAACATTCTTAAAGAAAATAATTTTCATTTTTTAAAGTTTTTATTTATTTTTTATTGAGGCGGAGTTTCGCTCTTGTTACCCAGGCTGGAGTGCAATGGCGCGATCTTGGCTCACCGCAACCTCTGCCTGCTGGGTTCAGGCAATTCTCCTGCCTCAGCCTCCTGAGTAGCTGAGATTACAGGCACACGCCACCGTGCCCAGCTAATTTTTTGTATTTTTAGTAGAGACAGGGTTTCACCATGTTGACCAGGATGGTCTCGATCTCTTGACCTCGTGATCCACCCACCTCAGCCTCCCAAAGTGCTGGGATTACAGGTGTGAGCCATCGCGCCCAGCAAAGAAAATAATTTTCAATCCAGAATTTCATATCCAGCCAAACTAAGTTTCATAAGTGAAGGAGAAATAAAATCCTTTACAGACAAGCAAATGCTGAGAGATTTTGTCACCACCAGGCCTGCCTTACAAGAGCTCTTGAAGGAAGCACTAAATATGGAAAGAAAGAAACAGTCACTGAAAAAGCATATCAAGGGATGTGAAGGACCTATTCAAGGAGAACTCCAAACCACTGCTCAAGGAAGTAAGAGAAGACACAAATAAATGGAAAAACATTACATGCTCATGGATAGGGAGAATCAATATTGTGAAAATGGCCAAAGTAATTTACAGATTCAATGCTATTCCCACCAAGCTACCATTGACTTTCTTCACAGAATTAGAAAAAACTACTTTAAATTTCATACGGAATCAAAAAAGAACCTGTAGAGCCAAGACAATCCTAAGCAAAAAAAACAAAGCTGGAGGCATCATGCTACCTGACTTCAAACTATACTACAAGGCTACAGTAACCAAAACAGCATGGTACTGGTACCAAAACAGATATATAGACCAACGGAACAAAACAGAGGCCTTAGAAATAACGCCACACATCTACAACCATCTGATCTTTGACAAATCTGACAAAGAATTCCCTATTTAATAAGTGGTGTTGGGAAAACTGGCTAGCTATATACAGAAAACTGAAATTGGACTCCTTCCTTACATCTTATACAAAAATTAACTCAAGATGGATTAAAGATTTAAATGTAAGACATAAAAACCCTAGAAGAAAACCTAGGCAATACCATTCAGGACACAGGAATGGGCAAAGACTTCACAACTAAAACACCAAAAGCAATGGCAACAGAAGCCAAAATTGATAAATGGGATCTAATTAAACTAAAGTGCTTCTGCACAGCAAACGAAACTAATATCAAAGTGAACAAGCAACCTATAGAATGGTAGAAAAATTTTACAATCTGTCCATCAGACAAAGGGCTAAGATCCAGAATCTATAAGTAACTTAAACAAATTTCCAAGAAAAAAACAACCCCATCAAAAATCGATCAAAGAACATGAACAGACATTTTTCAAAAGAAGATATTTATGTAGCCAACAAACATAAAAAAAAAGATCATCACTGATCATTAGGGATATGCAAATTAAAACCACAGTGAGATACCATCTCACTGCAGTTAGAACGGTAATCATTAAAAAGTCAGGAAACAACAGATGCTGGCGAGGGTGTGGAGAAATAGGAATGCTTTTACACTGTTGGTGGGAGTATAAATTAGTTCAACCATTGTGCAAGACAGTATGGCAATTCCTCAAGGATCTAGAACTAGAAATACCATTTGACCCAGCAATCTCATTACTGGGTATATACCCAAAGGATTATAAATCATTCTACTATAAGGACACATGCACACATATGTTTATTACAGCACTATCACAATAGCAAAGACATGGAACCAACTCAAATGTCCATCAATGTTAGACTGGATAAAGAAAATGTAGCATGTATACAACATGGAATACTATGCATCCATAAAAAAGAATGAGTTAATGTCCTTTGCAGGGACATGGATGAAGCTGGAAACCATCATTCTCAGCAAACTAACACAGGAACAGAAAAACCAAACACCACATGTTTTCACTCATAAGTGGGATTGAAAAATGGGAACATAGGGGCACAGGGAGGGGAACATCACACACCTGGGACTGTCATGGGAGGGGGAACAAGGGGAGGGATAGTATTAGAAGAAATACCTAATGTAGATGACAGGTTGATGGGTGCAGCAAACCACCATGGCACATGTATAACTATGTAACAAACCTGCACATTCTGCACATGTATCCCAGAACTTAAACTATAATAATAATAAAACAGTAACAAAACGGTTCACTTTGGACTTTCAGAGAACAAATACAATGGCAGGAAGACAGCTTTTTAAAAAATATCATAAAGACAAGTTTTCAAGTTTTGTGGTCATTTAAATTTAAGTTTCGAAAAGTGCTTTGACAATCATAGGTGTCCATGTAAAACCTTATTAATGTAATGCTAAACATCTGTTTATAGTTTTAGAATAGAAAACCTATATATTTTAGAAAACATCCCATATAAGACATTAAAAAAATTATAATGTAAAATATTAAAAAGAAAGGAAAGCCACTCCCATATTTACAATGTAAAATAAACTTTCCTTCTAGAAATAAACAAATTATTTTGCTACCTGATTGGTAGCTGGGTAATGGTTGGTTAAACATGTCTGTGCTTGGTAACTTTTTACTTTGTTTAGAAGACTGAATGGTGAAAATACTGTACTAATTTTGAAAATGTACCTGTTGAAATCAGGCCAAGTGCAAGTCCTCGGCGATCGTCAAAATACTGGCATGTAATGGTCACTGTTGCAGTGTATAATAAACCACATCCAAGACCTAAGCATGAGAAGACATTGCATAAATTAAGACACTGTATTAGTTCAATGCAAGAGAAAGTATGTCCAGTAGGACATTCCATTACTCACTGGCTAAAACTGCTAGAAGTGCAGACTCCAATATTCCTTCCATGTGTGTAGCCCCAACAGACACAGTGGGCAGCCTCATTTTTCACCCCACACCCACCTTAAGGTAAGGTCAAGTAAAAAAGTATCCAATGTTTAAATCACGAATGAATAATACAAATTTAAATTAAGACATTATGGAGAGAGAGAGAGAAAATGGCTAAATTCACATACCAAATAGCAAATTTAATGAAATTTGCCCCTTAGAGGTTTATGCCTCTTCCAAGTCCTTGCTACCAGCTGTGTTCTTCCTCTTGTACATTCTCTAAACAACTTTTAAAAGTACGCTTCATCACCCAAAGCTATTTTGTTAGAGTTTAGCCTGCACACCGCAAGTCTGCAAAATAAAGGCTCTCAGGCAAGTCCTGTGGGGTTCTCAGATCATATCATCATAGTGAAATTTATATTTGTAAGTCTTTATCTTTTAGGAGCGCATATTACCTTATTTCGAAGTAAAATGTAGTGATGTCTTTACTTTAAAATACTTTCACCAAAAAAAGGAAGCACATACGACAAGATATTGACAACTATTGGTGGGCATACAGTTGTTTGCTATACTATTCTCTACTTTTCTGTAAATTTGAAATTATTTTATAATTAATAACAACAAAAAATCTTAAAACTAAATTTATCTTCCTGAATCCCAAAAGTAATATTTAACTCCAGGGCTCTCATTTGTTAGCTTAAAATTTTTTTCCCTTCTAAGTATCTGACAACCCCAGTTTGTTTTCATATAATTCTCCTTTGGCCCTCACTCATTTATGCCTTTCTTCTGCAACATCATCTGTTCTTCATCATCACTCTAAAATAACACGTAAGCCATAGTCTAAAAACTGAATTAACCATGGCCTATTACATGAATTGTTAAGATCATTTTCATTACTGAAAATAGTTACTTGGACTACGATTTCAGAGAATACATGAGTTTAACAAATATATTACGTAAACATTTTAGGAAATCAGCACTTAGTCCAGGACTCAGAGGATCATCCATAATTGCACACATCAGAGTCTTATTAATGAAATGAGATAGATTAAAACAATCAGACTTTAAATAACCATTTAAAAATAGAGTGCCCCTTGGGAGGCCAAGGCGGGTGAATCACGAGGTCAAGAGATCAAGACCATCCTGGTCAACATGTTGAAACCCCGTCTCTACTAAAAATACAAAAAATTAGCTGGGCATGGTGGCGCATGCCTGTAATCCCAGCTACTCAGGAGGCTGAGGCAGGAGAATTGCCTGAACCCAGGAGGCGGAAGTTGCGGTGAGCCGAGATCGCGCCATTGCACTCCACCCTGGGTAACAAGAGTGAAACTCCGCCTCAAAAAAAATCAAATAAAATAAAAATAGAGTGCCCTTTTATGTCATTCACAAGGAAAAAATGCTATCTCAAAATCTAAGACATGAGTTGGATTAATTTATACAAGTGTCATTACTACACAGAGGACACTTCAAGACATGAAATAAAAACTGTTTCTAACCAATCAATTTTGTGAAGCCAAAAAATGTCACCCTTAATTAAGACTGTCTCTGAAAGCCTTTGGAGGGGGCTTTAGTGTAAATAACGCAAATTGACATTTCCATTATTCATTCATGCTTTCCGTGATTGCGTAGTCAGAGCTGTGTCAAATGTTAAGCTTCGAAGATATGAAAAAGACATTTCAGATTACTAAGTGTTAATGCCAAAGAAGTTGAAACAACTTTTAAACTTTAAATCTTATACTAAAATGAATTTTTTAAATGATTTAAAGGCTACAGGGTTCAGATAAGATTACTTCACTTTTTTTTTTTAATGTAGCAGAAATCTGAAATGCATTTACTTTAAATTTTTCAGTAAGCAAAAGGTGAGGCCAGGCGCAGTGGCTCATGCCTGCAATTCCAGCACTTTGGGAGGCTGAGGTGGAAGGATCACTTAAGGTCAGGAGTTTGAGACAAGCCTGGCCAACATGACAAAACACCATCTCTACTAAAAACACAAAAAATTATCCAGGTACACAATGGTGCACACCTGTAGTCTCAACTACTTAGGAGGCTGAGACAGGAGAATCACTTGAACCCTGGAGGTGGAGGTTGCAGCAAGCCAAGATCTTGCTACTGCATTCCACTCCAGCCTAGGCAACAGAGCAAGACTCTGTCTCAAAAAAAAAAAAGGAAGAAAGCAAAAGGTGGCACAATACCTCTCTTCATCTGCTTCAGGACAATCTTAAACCAGTAGTTGCTAAAAAGAGGTCCGTGTATCTACCGTCCCTAAGATCTTTCATGAAGTTAGTCAAGTCAAAACTATTTTCATAATAATACTGAGATGTTCTCTGCTTTTTTCACTATGTTCACATTTATGTGGATGGTGTAAAAGGGATGGTGAGTAAAACTGCAAAAGCCTACCACAAACTAAGGTATTCCTGAGGAACTTTACACTTTATAGGCTTTACCACCACACCCTCACAGTAAAAATAAACACATTTGTTTTCCAGGCTTCACCTGAATTACAATAATTGCTGCAAGGATAAGCACTTAAGTGACTGTTTTATAGCTAGCTAAAATAACCACTTTTAAAATATAACATCATTTTATTTGAAACAATGTCTGATAGACAAACTATGGTTGTTTAACCTTGGGTGTCTGGCTGTTATTTTCATGGGAATGAACCAGTGCTGGGAAACAACTGGCAGTAATTGTTACCAATGATAAAATTCATGTGTTCCAGCAAAAAACAAAAAACAAAAACACAGAATTTTAGAAAACTTATATCTACCAGCATGCATTTGACAGTTTCCCAATCCATAAAGATTTCTTATGAGCTTTTTGGTAATACTAACCAAAGTAATGTTTTACAATGAAATGTGTTAACATTTTTAAGTTCTTACATAACTCAGCAAATTAGTAATTTTCAAATAGCCAATGCATGAAGCTACAAAATTAGGTTTCAATCAAGATCTATTCAAAGGATAGAATAAATAAATGGATTTATGATAACAGAGTATGAAAAGTATACTGATACAGTATCAGGTTCCTCATTGCAATTAATCCTTAGGAAACTATCACTTACCAAGTTTCAGTAGAGGAATATCTATAATTACTTGATAGGGCTATTAAACACTTTTCCCTTTTTTCATTACATCTTTGTGTGAGACCAGATTTTCTTCATATACTTTAATCAAGAAGCATATTGTAACATGTTGAGTAGATAGGAGAATACAGCTGCCTTCTATGAAACCAGACATTAAAGAGATTTGCAAACATGTAAAACAATGGCACTCTTCTCACCAAATTTTGTCTTGCTTTAGAAAAGAATTATTTTTCATAATAAATACGATATTTATGCTAACATGTCCTGGATTTGTTATCTTGAAATGAATGACTAAACAAATATTTTTCAATGTCTTATCTCTTAATACAGTACATTTTAATAGACTAAATCTAAGTATAATCCTCATAATCAAAAGCTTCTTGGTATCCTAAATAAAAGAATGTAAAGGGTCCCAAGATTAAATAGTTTGAAAACCACTGCCTTAAAGCATTCCTTGGTCTCCAACCAGTTTGGATCAGACCTGTAGCAGTGAAAAAATTCTGTGTACCAACCTCAAGTAAAAGTATAACAATTTTAAAAGTAAATAAATACTTGTTTACTGACAATTCACAGCATCAATATTAGTAAGGAATAATTGTTTCCCTTTTTTAAATAGTAAAACCTAAATATATTTTACATGTTGTAATATTTCTTTTCCACACTTTACCTTCCATTTCACACACTTCTGGGTGAGACCACAACTTCAGAGGCCCCATCCCCTCTCATCAAAGCAGACATCAATCTCTTTGTCACACCCACAGCCTAAATTATAAACTTCAGTCTCTCTCAGCACTGACACTGCCTCAGTTCACTCCTCATCTTTTTAATCTCATCTAAGGCCTCCTAATAGCAGTCTCAGCCTTCAGTACCTTTCTCACCAATCTGTCTTCTAAACTGTTGTCATGCAATTCTCATCAGGTCATGCTCTTGCAATAAAGACCACATAAAACTGTTAGCATCTGGCCTGTTACACACCATGCTTTGACATGTTTGCAACTCCCCACACCACCTGTGCATTCCTTAACAAATGCACATAAAAAGACTACTGTTTATACATTTTACCTCCCCCCTCTGAGTACTTAGGCTACTGAAATGTCCTCCTCACGCCACCCCCACTCCCCTTCCAACCCATATCCACTTGAACCACATCCTGCCTGCTCTTCGAGACTAAGCTCAAGCATAAAGTAAGCATGAAGCCTCCACTGTCTCCCCTGCACACACACATACATTGGCTTCATTTCATTATTACACTTAGTGTGCTGTGCTACAAGTTATATATTTTCAAGTCTATTCCAAAGGCCACAACTAGATAATTGGTTGTGTGCTTTTGGCAAAGTCATTTAAACTCTCTAATTCCTACTTCCCCTTATCTTTAAAACAATCTTATAAGATCGTTCTAAAAACTAAGAGGCAGCATAAAAAATGTAAAGATGTGCCTACACTATCGTGAGTACTAAAAAATAGCCATGATATTGGTATGCTTTTTTTCTTTTCACCTGAGTATTATGGCATTATGTAGATACTGCCTCAGACTACATTAAAAAATCGTAGTACCTTACTACCCCTGTGTATCCATGACAGTTAAAGATTATATTTGATTTTATAACAACTTTGAAAGGGGGGGCTTGTAAAGCTCTAGTTCTCCTAAAATGGATATAAAGAAAATACACTTTATCCCATTTGCAAGAATCTTTTCCCTCCCTAGTCTCAGTGGACTATGCAGACATTATTTAAAAAAAAAAAAAAGGTGATGGAGGAGGGTGGGGGGGAAGAAAATAGAATTCTTCCAAAAATTAGGAAGGGAATATTAAGAAAACCATAAGCCAGGCACACCTGTAATCCCAGCACTTCGGGAGGCTGAGGCAGTTGGACCACCTGAGCTTTGGAATTTGAGACCAGCCTGACCAATATGGAGAAACCCCATCTCTACTAAAAATATATATATAAAAAAATTTAGCCAGGGTGGTGGTGCATGCCTATAATCCCAGCTATTTGGGAGGCTGAGGCAGGGGAACTGTTTGAACATGGGAGGCAGAGGTTGCAATGAGCCAGAATTGTGCCATTTCACTCCAGCCTAGGCAACAAGAACATAACTTTATCTCAAAAAAAAAAAAAAACAAAAAAAAACACCACATAGGTAGCTAACTAACAATGTATTCCAAAGAAAGAGAATGCAAAGACTTTTGAGTTGTGCTTTTCAACAAAGCAAAGAGAAATTACTAGAAAGAAGCTTGAGCAATTCATTACAGGCACATTCCCTGCACCACCACCTCCTATCCACTTAATTTTCATCTCCCAATGCACTGTCTTTTTCCTGATTTAGTAAAGTTATTGAGAAAACAGGAACCTCAATCACCAGATTTTGCCATGTGGCTTACAATCACTTGCCAATACATAAAGATTTCCAGTGAGCTTGTTGGTAATATTAACCAAAGTGATGTTTTACAATAAAATGTGTTAATATTTTTATGTTCTTGCATAACTCAGCAAACCAATATTTTTTAAATAGCCAATGCATGTTGCTACAAATTCAGGTTTGAATGAAGATCTATTTATAGTACAGGATAAACAGAGGCGGGGCACAGTGGCTCATGCCTGTAATCCCAGCAGTTTGGGAGGCCAAGATGGCGGATCACCTGAGGTCAGGAGCTTAAGACCAGCCAACATGGCGAAACTCCGTCTCTACTAAAAATACAAAAACGAGCCAGGCATGGTGGTGCACTCCTGTAGTCTCAGCTTATTTGGGAGGCTGAGGCAGGAGAATCACTTGAACCCACGAGGCAGAGGTTGCAGTAAGACTCCATCTCAAAAACAATAACAACAACAAAGTAATAAACAAATGGATTTACTGTAACAGAGCACAAAAACTATACTGATATGGGATCAGGTTTCTCATTGCAATCAGTCCTGCAATCTGACACATTGGTACAGGTTTTCATTTGAGCTATAAAAACCTAAACAAAATCACACCATATTTTCAAATAGTTTTGCAAAGATAATTAAATGGTAAACAGAATTATTCCAATTAATACACTTTTAGTATTCTTTTGACATTTTAGGTTGTAATATCCAATTTAACTTTAATTTCTTTTTCTCTGTTTTTAAATCTCTTACACAAATATTTCTGATCCAATAGAGCTTCTTCAGTAGCCAAAAACTGCTGCTGTACAGATCAGAAAGAAATTTAAGGAGAAAGAAATAAATGTGTATTAAACATCTCTGTATGCCTCTTTATAAACATTATCTCATGAATAGTCACAATACCTCTGTGAACTCGTATCAGTGCCACTTTATAATAAAATAAAAATGGAAGCTCAGAGAGGCTGAACAATTTTTCAAGGTCACAAAATGAATGACAATGGTTTATGCTTAACATTCATTGCATTATGTCACTCATCTTCACAAACTCTTATAAGGGCTATCATTATGCTCAGTTGAAAAATGAAAACACAGAAGTTACAAAATATGTTTACAGTCACACAGCTGGCAAGTGAAGAAAAGAAGGTTAACCCACAGGGTCCAACCCCAGAGCCTGCCTGCTAGTCAGTGTCTGATCTTTCCCTTGGTCATACTCACTAGCTTAAGAGGCCATCTAGTTCATTCCAGACAAATGAAAGTCCTTAGGATATGATTCTGCACAGAATTGCATCTTATAAATGTTACCATAAGACTGAACCCTTCTTGTTTTTCTGAAGAGCTCAAAATACAGAAATGAGATGAGTTTAGACTGTGTAATAATTTCCTGTCACTTTCTTCCGAATTTGATACTCTACTTTAAATCGTAACAGAATGAAAGTGCCAGTGTTCATGATTATCCCATTTATTTATCTCCCAAACATTCCATGAGCCCTCTACCATAAGCCTACTGATGAAATAAAACTGCAAGGAAATCAACAACGGTGGGAAATGTTAATAATTCACCAACAAGCAGTTACTCACAGGTCCCCAATAAGTGCCAGGGTGAGAGTTTTTTTTTTTATATATATTGAAATCTAACTCAACTCTTTATTTTATTGTTATCTTGCTTGACATCATTTAGTCCTCACAAGACCCATATGAGATAGGTTTCTTAGCCTGCCTTCACAGATGAGGGAGGATACAGCCATTCGTAGAGATTAAGGAGCTTGCTTATTCGTAGAGATTAAGGAGCTTGCTTAAGCTCACAGAACCTGTGTCTGCTGACCTGAAGTCCAGTGCTCCCTCCACGAGCTGATGGTTTCCTCTTAGTCACTGAGAATCAGAACCTATTGCCAAACCAGAGCAATATACGTCCTCAGACTTGAGCCTGTTTTCTGACCGAGAATCCACTAACCAAAGGAAAGACCAGGACTCTCGGAAGAAGGACATAGCAAAAACATGATGACAAGTTCGTATGCATGGAATGATAACCTGAGTCTTTCCCCAAAGAGAACTAGGGCCATCTATTTAGGTAACTGTACATTGAGGAACGTAAAATACATTTTGAACATTGTTGTTAGAGACATGACGAGTCTGCATGGCTTCCCCTTAGAGTGGGCTTACATGGGGGCAGATAATATATGGAATTACGCCCCAATTGCCCAGCCAATGGTCCTTTCCTCAGTCCCTGATATTTAATTATAGCACATACACAAATAGCTGGTACAACTCCATAAGCTGTTCTTTGGTTTCTTGGCCTAAGCAGTAGGAGTTCTCATTCCCCATAATGCCATCATAGTGGGGAAAGCCAGGTGGAAGTCCTGTGACTCCACCATCAGTAGCAACAGCCAAGGGTGTAAGCCCAAACCAATATCAAATCCCATCCAAATGGACTACTGAGTGTCCATCTCTATGTGTCAGACCAAGTCTCCTTGCTTTGTTAATTTAGTTAGTAAGATTTTTTACTTCTCTGAGCTTCATTTTCCCTCTCTGTAAAATGGGTTTTTGCGAAGAGGAAATGAGATCATATGAAGCATTTAGCAGAGTCCCTAGCACATGATAAGTACTCGGTGAATGTTAGTTGCTACATTTTCTATTATTTATTATTGAAGAAATATTTCCAAGCAGAAAAGAGGAATATTGGTAGTCAATAAAATTAGCTCTTTTCAGGCATTAAGAAAAAACTTGAAAACTAGAGGTCATCTTTTTCTAAGGCCCCACCAACAGCTCCTAGGAATACCAAATCTGGTGATTTTTAATACTGAACACAGTTAGTATAACGACATGACAAGGATATCTTCCCAAATTATCAGTACTCTAAGGCCCTGAGCCTCCTATGCTTTCCTCCCCTGTAACCAGTATCTTCCCACCACTAAGCTTTCTTCACTCACGTCTTATCTCTTAAAAAACAAAACAAACAAACAAAAAAAAAACAGTATTACTAATACATGCTTTCAAATCGACTTTTTACCTGTGCTGTGACTTTTGACCTGGGCCCACAGCAACAGATGCTATGGAATGCAAACAGCTGTTTTTGTGAGCACAAACAGCTTGACTGCCCAATAGGAAAAGGGCTACTTCATAATTTAGTGAGAAGTGACCAATGTCAACAACATCCAAGTTTTATGTTCCCCTTCTCTCACTTTTTCTTTTAGTGCTATAGAGAGACAAGGGCTGAGATGAAAAACTTACCTGTGCCTTGCAAGGAGACACGGTATGGATTGTTGGTCCTTTCAAACATTTTGATTCACTGGGCAGGTTTTTTTTTTACTAAAGCAACAATTTTTGGAGAAGTGGTCATTGAAAGTATATTATTAGCGAGCATTTTCACTCCTTTACGTTAAGTGAATCATAAACCTGGCACTGGTGAAATGATGTGTCACTCTTGAAGGTTAGGAAAGTCACAGTGACGAGGTTCCTTACCTACAACAATGCCATAGGAAAAAAACAGAAAATAGATATTGGGAGCAAAACTGCTCAACATCAAGCCTCCAGCCACCATGAAGCCACTAAAGATTGTGACGGTTCTTGCTCCAAAAGACGAGACACAGAGACTGCAGACAGGACCTAAAAAAGGAAATGAAACCTTCACTTATTATCATATGATCCATCCATCATAAGTTCAAAATGATTCTTTCCGTCATAAAACAACAAAAATAAACATTCACTGAGTATTTACGATGTGAGGCAGTTCACGTGAACAATCTCATCTCATTTTAATCTTACTGCAGCCTTGGGAGGTGGAAACTATTGTTAGTCTCATCCTTTTTTATAATGAAATGCCAGGATGATAAGATCACATAGTTAAGAAACGGGGGTTCTGAAGTCAGATTTTATTCAAATTCTGGCCCTACTACTTGGTAGCTGTTTGGTCTTGGGCAACTTATTTGATCATTCTGTGCCTTAGTTTCCTCATCTGAAAATGGGAATGATAATAGCACCCACCTTATAGTGTTACTGTGCTCTGTTGACTAACAGGCCGAAGTGACCATCACCTGGCATTGTTCTATGCATAAATGGGGAGCTGCTCATGTAACAGAATTTAAGTGATAGTGAAATTCTTTCCTACTAGGACTGTACCCAGAACTACAGAACTTAATGTACTAGGAATAAAAGGATGTTAAGGGTTATTTAGCCCAACAGTCTCATTCAACACGGAAGGAAACTGAAGCTCAAAGAAGCTGTTTAAGTCTATGGTAGAAGAAAGACTGAGGATTTGGAAGCAAAGAGAAGTATATCTGAACTGAGCTGACAACCTTTCAAGCTATGATCTTTGATTTTCAAAAACCATAACTACCAGAATGGCTAAAGACAGGCAATACTGTTAGCAAGCAAGGGGTATGAACAGAACTCTCACACACTGCTGGCTGTGTTCACTAAAGCCGAACACAGCATGCTATAAAACCCAGAAGTTCCAGTTCTATGTATATACCCCACAGAAACACCCAGGTAAACACCTAACTACAGAAACAAGCAAAACTGATCTGCATTACAAGTCAGGATACTGGCTATCTTTAGTAGGGGCTGGGGAGTTAAAATAAGAAGAGAACAAAGCCAAACTTCCAGGGCACTGCTCATATTCTGGTCCTTGGTATGAATGTGCTAATTCCATGAGTGTGTTCAGTTCATGAATATTTATGGAGCTATACTGTCACGATACATACACTTTTCTGTATGTATGTATGTTTTACTCCTTTTTGAAGCAACCGCAGAGAAACAATGGAATCCATCATAGTCTCACTATTTGTAAATGACAGAGGCAGGATCCAATAATCCAGGCACTACGTTCTTCCCAATACCTGAGAACTTCTTAAACACATATTTAAGCCCAGTTTATGGCCCCTGAGATATACTGAGATCATAGCCCAGTGCTTAAGGCTTTCCCACATTCCTTCCTGGTAAGAACTGGACCTTCCCATTTTCAGGCCCTCACGTGAGCCAGTGCAGAAGAAGAGACTGATACATTTACACGACAAACAGAGGGAAATATTTTGTGCCAGTGTTTTTTTTAAAAAAAATCCATTTGAAAGACCGAACTTATCATCCAACACAATGAGAAAAACTTAGATACTTCAAAAATAGAAACCGTTTTCAGAGTCTAATTTTACAAACGGATGTCTGACAGCGTAAGCATGACCATTCTCTGTTGTTACCAAACCACGTTGACACTGTCAGTTTTCACAAATTTTACAACACAATGCAATTGAAACACACAGAGATTGTTCCTGGCATGCCTGAAAAGTTTCAAGTTTCATCCTCAAAATGGGACTTTAACTCTTTAATGCATGTTAATTCCACAGGGAAACCTCAGAGCCTGGGAGTGTCAGGGCCAGATGGAGGGGTAATTTTCATAGCATGTACAACCAAAGCCACTGTTGTATGAAATATACATCATTGTTATCAACTATGTAATAAATTATCAAGCCATTTTTTTGGCCTAACAAATGATTTTTTTGAAAAACAATTCAAGTGTTAGGAAAAAAATGAACAGAAATTCTCTTACAGGTGAATAGCAAATTGAAAGAGGTTTAAAAAATTCTCTACTTTTACACTGCCATCTGCTGCTGATTTAGAGAACTATATCATTAGATCAGAGATTAAAGACAAAAAATTTAGAGCTGAAATTTTGGAAGTTGGAAATGGTCCAAATACCTCAATTTAAAAATGGTGAAACTGGAATTCAGAAAGATCATGTGATTTGAACAAGAGTCCATTGCTAGCCAATGACAGGCTAAGGCCAAAGTCAGCCCAGCATTCTTCCCGACTGAGAAATATTTCAATTGGGATCTTAATTTTTTCTTAGAAATCAAATTAGTAGTAAAAAACATCAGTATACTGTTAGAGTAGATAGTTAGGCAGACATGAGCAGGGCAGGAGAGCGGTCGCCCCACCCAAGAATTTCAGGTAACCATCAGGTGATGGTCAGGTGTTTATTAAATTGTTTCTCTGAAATGATAATTGGCCACAGCCAACACCAGGGGCAGACAGTCTCCCAGTGGACAGAAAACACCTGGAGCTGGTGATCAGCAGCTTCCCAACAAGATCTCAGGGGTTGAGCAAGTGGACTCAGGCATGCTCACTAAGAGGCAAAATGGTGGATGAACGGCCTTCCTCTGGGGGCATTTGACTGGTTAAGAAAAATTGCCCCTAGGGAGCATGAGCACAACCTAAGAAAACATACTACACACGTGGTCACCGTCTCAAATGACCAACACTGCACATGCAACAGTTGAGCAACAGCCAACCACAAGGAAAGAAGAATCAAGAGAGAAGAAAAAAATCCAGAACCATGCCAACTTATAAAACCCCAAGTCAAGGACTGCATGGGGCACTTGGATCTCTCAAGTGGCTCACATGGCCTTCTTCCAAGTGTACTTTACCTCCTCCTTTCACTCCTGCTCCAAAATGTTTTAATAAACTTTCACTCCTGCTCTAAAACTTGCCTTGGTCTCCTTCTCTGCTTTAAACTCACTTCTGCCCCTTGGCTGAATTCTTTCCTCCAAGGAAGCAAGGATCAAGTTTGCTGCAGACCTGTAACGATTCACCCCTGGCAACAGTACCTTTGTTGATGTCTTATAGATAACATAGCTTTGTGAACTTATGTTAGATGAAAACATAAAATTTATAATCACTTGGTGTTCAGTAGTTTAGAGCAAATTATTTTACCCTTATCCTGAGAACCTGGTTTATTTATAGATTCTATTTCCATAGATTTAAAACATAATAGTCTTATGTTTCATCAGTAATAAGGCAAAATATATCAAAATGACCATCAAGTCACATCTGCAAAACGTGATACATTTATGTGTTTAGCTCTTTGTAGTAACAGTACAAGGTCTTCAAGATGATAAATCATGTATTATTCCTCAGCACTGGATGAGTTTCAAGAGACAGATTAAATCAAAGGGCTACTCTCAGGAGATTTCTTATGAGGCAAAGTGAAAACTTTGCAGAAGGGAACTTTAGAACCAAAATTAGTTTACCTATGACATGAACCAGTGATTCCACACCTTTGGACCTGAACAATTTTAGGGGGAATAGAGGGGGGTGGAAAAGGGGAGGGGGCCGCTAATTTTTTATCTTCACAAAACATTTTGAAACTGTAATAACCAGCTGGGTACAGTGGCTCATGCCTGTAATCCCAGCACTTTGTGAGGCAGAGGCAAGTGGAACACCTGAGGTCAGGAGTTCAAGACCAGCCTGACCCACGTGGCAAAATCCCATCTCTTTTAAAAATACAAAATTAGCCAGGTGTGGTGGTGCATGCCTGTAATCCCAGCTACTCAGTAGGCTAGGACAGGAGAATCGCTTGAACCTGGGAAGTAGAGATTGCAGTGAGCTGGAGCTTCAATCACGCCATTGCACTCTAGCCTGGGCAACGAGCAAAACTGTCTTAAAAAAAAAGTGTAATAATCATCTATTATTACCACTGCTTAATTAGAGAAGAAGAAATGTTTTAATAAGCAAAAAGTGAGAAGGATGTACTTTCAGAATAAAATTTAAGACAGTAAGAAGATTATGGGAACTTCAGATATACACATACACTCATACATTCCATCTATCATTCCCTTTATATTCATTTTGCCTTTGGTGAAAGTTTTTCCTGAACTTACCAATGCCTGTGTATTGGTGTTCAAGAACCAATATTATTATTGTCAGTGTTGGTGTTTAAAAGTCACTATTGCCTCAGCCTCCCAAGTTACCACCACTCCCGACTAATTAAAAAAATTTATAGAAACAGGGTCTCATTATGTTGCCCAGGCTGGTCTTAAACCCCTGGTCTCAAGTGATCCTCCTGCCTCAACCTCCCAAAGCTCTAAGATTTATAGGCATGAGCCACTAGCCCAGCCCAGTGTGTATTTTTTATACCTATAGCTTATGTAAACTGGAAGGAGCCACATTTCAGGTGCTCAGTAGCCACACGTGCCCACTGTATTGGACAGCACAGTAATAGAGTCTCATATCATGTTAGAAGAGGACACAGAGAAATCAAACACAATTCAGGACCTAGACAAGAGGCAAAACAAACTCGCATCAAGGTTTAAAATACAACCCAAGGCCAGAAGCACCAAAAGAAAGGTCAGACGGCTTGTTTGGGGATTTCATAAGAGGGAAAACAACCAAGGTCACAGAACTGAGCCTTGTACTAAGCTATGAAGTAAGGTTATCTCAACAAAAGGAATGAACATGTATTCTAAATGGAGGAAATAGAAACATAGTCTGATTTTCCAGTTTTTAATATATTATAAGATAGTTTGGGGAATGACATTATTCCCTTTGGGAAATAAACTCAACCTCCATGCAGTTCTTTCTCCTAAAAAGTTTCAGAGAGTCCCAGGAGTGGAAAGATGGCCAGGTCTGCTGTGGTGAATATCTAAGTTGGCTGATGCTACAGTGAGAAATAAAATGTAGCAGTAACCAGGTTATGGACCTGCCATGCAGCAAGGATTTCCTAACAGAGTGGATCAGTTGGGCTTGTGAAGGTTCTACCCTTCCACCTAAAATGCAGGAAGCCCAAGGGGTGAGCTCCTCCAAACTGCAGGCTCCTCAATCCTTGCTCTAACAAA